CGCCACTCTTAAGTTGAAAATTTCAGGTTAGTTTCTTGAAATGTCAACTTATTCAGAAATAATTTGAAATTTTGAGCTTTTTGCAAGCTTGTTATTTGTAGAATTTATTTATAAATATACATTTATAACAAATTTATTTTCAGTGGCAGTAGTGAAAGTAATTATTACACTTCAAACCATGACTCATACAGTAAATGACACATTTCATGATGAATGAATAATGAGTACTTAGTTCATATTTTAATAATATGTAATAGTTAATACTTTGATTATAGTTTAAATACAATAAAAATTCCATTGTCGCCATAATAAGTACTAAATTATGTGGTCATTTTCAGGAAATTCTTTCTAAGATCATGTGAAAATTCCAAACCTGTAAAATAACATTTGTCCATAGTCTTACATCTGATCTCGGTGCCAACAATAATATGTCAACAAGCCTTTTTTTAAAAAAACAAACAAACAAACAAAAACAACCACCTACAACAATAGGTCCACAAATTCAGCAACAGATGCATAATCTCTTCAATACGTCACTTTCTGATAGAAATGCTATGAAAACTAAAGAAGAAGTGAACATTTATAAATATGAGTAAGTGCTATAAGTCCTGTAACTCCTGATTGTTGAGTTTTAAGGAAACTCTGTTTATTAAAATGAAGAAAATCAATATTTTACACACAAATCTGAGTATAAGACAAAACACTAATCCACAGGCTGGATTTACCCACTTAGGAGCTCAGAGGCAAACATTTGTTGTTGGACCCCTGTTGGCCCCCACTCTGTGTGGCAGCTTCATGATTCATGAAAATCATATCGCTGATTTTCCCACAATTCAATTAAACCAACAGCAACAGATAATGTGATGTGGATTAAATCTGGGACTGTTGCGCCATGCGCACGAACATCAAATGATCATTAAAATATCTTTGACTTCCACTGATTTGTTAAAAACCTCATGTCATGTGTCCCATCATCCCGGTGCTGAGGCAGTATCTACATCTCAGCGGCGATGGCGGCGTTCTTCACCCCTGCACCAATCACAGCAAAGAACACATTTGGGAAAAAGGACCTGGCGTAAATGGCCATCTTAGGGAGCGAGGGAGCAATCACCACCTCTTTCCTCTTATTGTTTAAAGTCTTCACAATCTCCGCGGCGGCTTCATCAGGAGAAACGCCGAGGGGCTTCTTAGTGTACAACACTGCAGTGAGCCGACAGGAAGAGGAAATAACACTCAGCATTTTCAACAATAAAAGAAGTGTTTGAACATCTGTCTTGCCTCCTCTGAGTTTACTCACACGACCACAGGGATTTGGAGGTGGCCGGGGCTCCAGACGCAGAGCAGCTGATGAAGTTGTGGCTGATGGTGCTGACGGAGATGCCGTACTCCTCCACCTCCGCTCTCAGGCAGTCAAAGAAGGCCTGAACAGCGTGTTTAGAGGCTGCGTCTAAGATACAGAGTGAAACCTGAAAACCATCTTCTCTGAGGAAACAGCAGGAATAATCTAAACTTTTTTTCTAATCTAATCTAAACTCTGTACTGGAATTTTAAAATGTTTACATGCAAATTTTTAAATATCGTCTTTGAAGGAGTCTCAAAACTTTGATAATGGATTGTTTTAAGTCATTTTTAATATATATATATATAAAAAAAGTACAAATCTGAATACTTGCTGCTTAATGCTAAGTGTTAATGGTAAGTCAATGTTAGCATTAGGCTAACATTAGTTATTTAAAATGAACTTTATTTATACCAATTTAATTTTTTTTTCAATAATATAATATT